CTCAGGAGGTGTTTATTGCAGAGGACGGGAGCTTGGCACCGAGATGTATATACAAAATTAATTTCATACTCATGGAGAAAAATTTGCGTTATTCGAAAAGGGGGCATGGTACCTCCCGTACAAATTTACTTTTATACTGCCTATCTCTAGAGGTGTTCATGGTAGAGTACTGCACTTGGTACTGGGGTATGTAAAATCAATTCTAAATTCATGAAAGAAGTTTAGGGTTATAAGAATAAGGGGCGTGGCACTTTCTGTGCAAATTGACCCTCTGGAAGTGTTTGTGGAAGAATACTGGAACTTGGTATGGAGTTGTGTATACAAAATGTTTCAATTGCTCATGGAAAAAATGTGAGTTATTAAAAAAGGAGGCATGTCGCCTCCCATACATACTAAAAATTTCTTAATACATATCTCTGGAAGGATAGAAAATCTTTGGAAGTACTTTAAATTTGTTATGGAGGTTTATTTTATAAGTGCCGTACTGATAGAAAAAATTTCATTTAATGGAAAAGGGAGAGCCGGGCTCGGCCTTATAATCTAAAGCTCTCTTGAGGTATTTGCTACAGTAATGAGAAGTGGTATTTTATCAAGGCCAGGTTACTAAATTTGAGTTGGAAATATTAGAACCCGCCGTGGCACTTCCATGAAGGTTACATGTTTACGCGTCGTATACCTGGAACCATTTTAAGGTAAACTTAGAGGGATTGATATCTTTCGTATGCCTAGCGCGCAGACGAGATTTTATAATTTCATAGTTTTAAACGGCCTAAATACCTTAACTCGCTTAAAAAATAACGAGCTATAACGAAATGGGCACAGAAATAAAATCTAACATTAGCCGTCATCGATTCGCCACTTCGCTGCTTGCTATGTTTGAGTTCCGGTCGCTTAACGAAAAATTTTGCATGTGAAAGCAACAACAAAGTTAGCTAGCACGGATAGACGATAGCTAGTTTGGTTGTACCTCATTGAATTCGTTCGTTTCGCCACTTGCTAACTGTTGGCGAATCGATGACGGCTATTATTAAATTATTTTTCATATTTGCATAAAAGCGCGGGGTGAAACCCGCGGTTATAAGCTAGT